TGGTGGCTGCAATATTTTATTTGGAATTTGACAAGCAGTTTTATGTTCAAATACTGCTTTTTCCTTCCTCTGTAGTAATTTAATGTCAAATGGATTTATTAAATCATTTTCCAAATTATCATCAGACAGTATTTCAATATCTTCATCCATATTTTGAATTTGAAAAATGGTATCATCATTTTTAACAGTATTATTACCTACAACTTTCTTTATAGTTGGAAACTGTTGAGTTTTTCTTTGTTCTTTTGGCCTTTTATTAGGCAACAGATCCCAAAGTGTAAGCAATACACGATTTTCTGCATTGCTATTTTTGCACAACGTAGTAAAAATATTTTCATATTTCATTTGTGGTAGAAGACTATAAATTTTTACAGCTTCTTCCTCAAACTGAATATTAAATTTACTATTTACGTTCTTATTAATATCTTTGCTGCAACCTGGCAATGGATATTCTTCTTCTTTTTCATAACTTTCTATGTAATCGAAATTATTACTTTGACCATTATTATTTTCTTCAATAATTTCAATATCAACTATAGCACATTTTGTAGTGCGATCAGCATCGATCATAGCCGTAGTATCATACAATTCTATGCTTGCAACTTCTTCCGAGTCCTCTGCATAATAACTATTGTCTAGATCAGAATCATTAGAATCTGTATCAATATATATTTTGTAACCCTTATTTATTTTGTTACAGAGTCCTGCTACAACCAAGCCATTTTTGGAGCTCTGTGTTCCCAGAATCAATTCCTCAACTATCTTTAGGTTTCTTCCAATATCAAAAATACGATCTCTTATGTGTTGAAAATTTATTAAAAGTATAGTCTCACTCATCGTATCTAAGAAACAAATTAGTATACAATAAATAATATATTAACGTAAAAAATATTACATGTAACATAAACTTTATTCTGTACGTACCAATATTTTACTCCCGCTAAAGTAGAAAACAAATGACTACAACAAATTTTATATTAGGTTGTTTGTCCACGAAACGTCACATCTTAGACGCGTCACAGACGCAACATCGCTCGCTGTACACTTTCGTGCAGCAGGTAAATGCAGGTACATAAATGTAAAATAACAGATGACCGTCGACGAAGCGACAACAGCACGTTATTTTCACGAACTACATCTGTCATGACATCCAATGTCATATGTCGCTTGCTATACGCTTCCGTATAGCGGGCAATATGAAAACGATAGAGGACCAACGATAGAGGCATCTTTCATTCGTCATTACGCTCGGCGTACAACATGTGTCAGTCGCTGGTCATATTTCGTCGCTCATAAATGAAATCACAGAAACGAGTGAAGTCATTTCATTTGCATAAATCGTCGGAAGGTATCCATGTCTATGCAACCATACCTTATCTGACTATGACCGAAAAGAAAAAGAAAATGAGAAAAAACACACGTTGTAAATACACATTGTTTGAAATGATTTAAATTAAAAATAATTTTTCTCGCTCATTCCTTTGTCTTACTTTATGTATGAGCGAGCATGATTTTTTATTTCAGGCTCAGTTTTCGGAAAATATAGACCTTGAAAATTGGTAGAATGCAGGTATACTCCCCCCCCCCCCACCCGGGAAATGGATCTCGAATTTAAATCTCGAACATTCTTATACTACATTTTTGGCTCCTATTTTTTAATAAAGAATCGCCTGATCTCCAATTCAAACTCGCTCTGTATATTTCAGTACAGTAGAAAAAGAAAAACAATAATTTTAGAACATAAACTATAAATAATAATTTACTGATATCTACCTACCTTAATGTTATCAAAATTCTTTCCTCGGAATTTACACGTTCTCGCATATTTGTATTCTGCCTTGCAATGCTTCGACCGCACTAGTTCTACAAGATTTTTATGCGTCTTTCCGCATTCTGTAAAATGCTTGAAATTTATTATCATCTTGTCTTAATGTACTTGCAGCCGCGAACACTCTACAGTTAATAATATTCAGCGATGCAAAGATGCGATCGAAATTTTCTTCGTTTTGCCGTCGCTTGACATTTTTACAACCGATGAAAATTTGATCTACGTTCCGTGAATTCGGAAATCAAAACGTACGCTTCGTGGACGGGTCGTGTCTTCGCGTATTTAATACGCTACGATACGCGTCTAGGACGCGACGCTTCGTGGACAACAGCCTTAAGCCTCGTTTTCACCGGTTTGGCTTTTGCCGCTTGCGTATGCCGCGCGGCATTATATTCCTCCATTTGCGCAGAAAATATCGCGTTGTTGATCGCGTGTTGTAGTTTCCTCCTCGCGCACTCGTTCTTCAAATTTCGCACTTGAATGGCAACGTACTCTCCGTACACGGAAAACTCGTCCTTATCTATATTTTTATTGCACAATTTCTGCAGTAGGTCGAACGCAGCATCGGCCTTGTCGGCAACTTTGCGTTTCCTGGACTGTGTCTCCTGAGAATTTCCAGGATTTCCGCATTCACTCTCAATAATTTGCGGTTGCAGCACCTCTTTGTCTATCGTCGTGATAATCTGTAATTAAGCATTAATTTGAAGAATTCAACGACGAATGGAACAGTCGCTCAAGCGCAAAGAGTTAAGTTGTAAAGTGTGTAAAAATTAAATATTCCATTAATACTTACATTCTCCTCCTTGTTCGGCGTAGTCCGCGGCTTGTTCCGGTTGCGGAGGAAGCTCATAGATTCAAACGCGAACCACTTACTTCTATATATATCCTCGCTGCCGGCACCAGATTTCATAGTCTGTTGTTCCTTCTTTAATTCACGGGAGAAGTGGCTCAACAAGTTTTTCATCTTTCTTTCTACTTCGTCGCTGGACTCCTCCAAAAGCGCCGCTATCTCGCCGAAAGCATCGTGCCTTTTGATTTTATTTTTGTACTTTGGATCTCGCGCATCCCACAGATTGCTACGCTCTCGATACAGCTCGATCAATTCTAAGACTTTCGCCTGAGACCACTCTTTCTCCATCGTAGTTCCCTATATCACTATTTCAGAACTGACTCACAAAGTGTCGCTTAAGCCTCGTTTCCACCGGCTTGGCTTTTGCCGCTTGGGCACGCCGGCGCGACGCGCGCATGCGCGACACAGTGATCGCTTGGGTCGATGCCGAACGGCTGGAATAAGCCAAACGTCGGTATTCTCCGATCCAGCGATTGGCTTCGTCGTTCCTCCTCTCGCGTTATCGGAGCTCCCGTGCAAACAAACTTCGGCTGCCGTCCGGTGTTCCACCTATGATCGCAGGCAGTGATCGATATTGGTCGAAGACGGTGACAAAGGTCAACGACGAGTAGTGACGAGGGAATGACAGTACATACAGGGTGTCCCGAAAATGTCTCGTAATCCGAAAATGGGAGGTCCCTGAGGTCATTCGAAGCAACTTTTGACTTTGCGAAAATTTTCTCCGCGGCTTCGTTTACGAGTTATTAACGAAAAAAACACTGACCGTAAGAGGCGAGCTCGGCTGGCGCGCGGCGGCCCAGCCAACGAGTGCACGGAGCCCAGTTCTGCTCATTGGCTCGTCCGTCTCGCGCCAAATGATCTCACCTCTGATTGGTCACTGTTTTTTCGTTAATAACTCGTAAACGAAGCCGCGGATCGTATTTTCGCTGAGGAAAAAGTTGCTTCAAATGACCTCTGGAATCCACCTACTTTCGGATTGCGAGACATTTTTGGGACACCCTGTATACACAGAAAAATTACCGTCTCGCTCGGTCTAGTTATTACCCGTCGTTAACCTTTATCATCGTCTTCGACCAATATCGATCATTGCCTGCGATTATAGGAGGGACAGCGGCAAAAATGGGCCATGCCGTCTTCTCATGAAAAAATGATACATCAGTTCCACTTCTAGACACTTTAAACTTTACTTTAAAGACGACTTTATTTGCTCGAATTTGTTCAAAATGAAAATATTAACCAACATTGTTATGAAGATACAGTGTTCTAAACTTTTTTTTTATGAAACTGTATTCTTTTCATCAGCATGTGAGCTAGTAGTATTTTCGGTGAGAATTTTAGTACTTATTAATTTTGTCCCGGATTGAGAATTGAATTTGTCCCGGATAGTGAATTTTGGCCGGATGGAGAACGAATCGGCATAGCGATTGGCTTTTCAAGTCGAACTGTACCCTTCACAAATGGCACCGAAGAGATACGAAACGCATCGAACTTGTTTATCTTTGCTTATTCCCCTGCCCGAGTGGCCTGTGTCGACGCAGCGGAAACGCGGATTTCACAAGGATCGGTTCATTCGGTTGGCAGAGCCACGCGGCTTAGGCCAAGCGGCAAGACCAAGTCAGTGGAAATAAGCCTTTAGATAGCCAGAATATAACCTCGGCACGATCCCGAGTTTTAAAATTGCGCACCGGGATTAATCATTTGCAACCTTTTCAAGTAAAGGAAAATGTGAACGCCTTCAATTGCGGGTATAAGATAATGGAGCTAAAGAATTATGTTAAGGAAATATGCCAAAGAAATTATGCATCCGATGTATGTAGTTGTTAATGCTTACGTTATAAGAAGTTTTCTCGATAAATTCAAAATTGTAATAATAAAAGTGATACAAAACGATCGACAAAATGATAAGATATGTAAGCATTTCTTGTAGTATAGTAAAATGTAGTATAGTAAAATAAAATTATATAATTATTTGATTATACAGATTAATATTAATATATTAATATATTTCTTGTAGTATAGTAAAATGAAGCTCCTTACGAAGGACTTAAAAATTGACGAATATAAAATTATATAATTATTTGAATATATTAATATATCATATATATTATATATTAATATTATATTAATATATTAATATATTTCTAGTAGTATAGTAAAATGAAGCTCCTTACGAAGGACTTAAAAATTGACGAATATAAAATTATACAATTATTTGAAGTAAGTTTGTCCTTGGCGAAAATGCAATCCACGGCTTTGTTTACGAGTTATTAACGAAAAAAAGGGACCAATAAGAGGTGTGAGATATGCTGGCACAAGGCGGCCGAGCCAATGGGCGGAGCTCTCATTGGTCAGTGTTTTTCGTTAATAATTCTTAAACGAAGCCACGGGTTGCATTTTCGCTAAGGAAAAAGTTACTTCGAATGACCCCAGGCATCCCCTACTTTCGGATTGCGAGACATTTTTGGGACATCCTGTACGTACGGGTATAGAAGAAAACATAATTGTCATACACTTCTTTCGCCAACGGCCATATCACGTTGCAATAAACCGATTCTCGTCCGATCATCGAAGTTAAACAGCGTTGAGCGTGGTTAGTACTTAGATGGGTGACCGCTTGGGAACACCACGTGTTGTTGGCTCCATATTTTTTTTTATTTATTTCCTCATTTCCCTGTATATGCCATGCCGCTACGGCTGGAGCGGCCGAGGTACGGTACAAGCAGCATTCGAGCGCGTATACCTGTCATTCGTACACAAGGATGATTCACTTCAATTGAGCTGAATCTACGTTATTTCCGTTACTACGAGAGATAGAAAAAAAATGGGAAGTATTTAAAGAAGAATTAAAGTATTTAAATGGTGAAGTATTAATAGTAAAGTATTAATAGTAAATTGAAGTATTTAAATGGTTTCCAAGCGGGCATCCGATAGTAAGAAAAAATCGTTTTACGTCGCATTTGTGTCAAACAATTGCAAAATAAATGGTGAGAACGTAAATTGTTTAAACTGACAATATTTTTTATTAAATACTCTTATGTATACACTGTGTGAACTCCAAAATGTTATTTTCATTCGTTCGGTGGTTTAATAATTATGATTTAATGAAAAAAAGGTCGATACTTTATTTCAAATGAAAAATTTAGAAAATTTGTTAAAATTCGCCGAGATATGTTCATAGTCGTTAAAAGCTACAACATAGTCACATAGTCACAGAACAAATAGTGACCGTTTTCGCGTGGGTCGTCCCGTATTTATGGTATATTGAAAGGATCCCCGTGTGCCAAGGATTAACCGTAACATGTAATAAATAACAAACGCGTTTCGACTTGTACAAAGCATGCGGAAATAAAAGGCTCGGGCAAGAACTGTGACTCGACCTCTGGCTAATAGCTGTCATTTATGAAATACTAAAAGGTATAAGGAAAATAACGGCTTTTGAAGAAGATTGCTTGCTGCAAGTAGATCGGTCGTTTTAATCGTATACCATTCGAAGCATTGTCTCGGTAAAATTGAAAAGTATGTACCTTGGATTCTCATATTTTGCGACAAAATATTAAGATTGCAATTTTTCACAACTAAATATATATAATAATAAAATAATAATAAAATAATAAAATATTTATTTTTCTCAAAATGTCCAAATATTAGTAAGAATAACTGCACCTAGTAAATTAACTTTATTTTCTAATAATTTTTTCGTGCACTTCTTTATAATATATATATATTTCTGTGATAATAAATAATGAAAATATGTATAATGCCTTCTTCAATCATGTTCCAATGACAGCCCATACTTCCGCGTGAAGAAGACACGGCGTGTTTACATCACCACTTCGGCTGCTGTCCGGGTCCTTCTCCTGTGATCGCAAGCGGTGATCGATATTGGTCGAAGACAGCGATGAAGGTCAACGACGGGTAGCAGCGAGACCGAATGAGAGGGGATAGTGACAATATACGGAAAAATTGCCGTCTCGCTTGGTCTAGTTATTACCCGTCGTTGACCTCAGTCACCGTTTTCGACCGATATCGATTTACTGCCTGCAATTACAGGAGGGACAGCGGACTGCAGCATAAATAAGGTGGTCGTCATGCCGTCTTCTCGTGGAAGTATGATACATCAGTTTACAGACACTTTGAACTTTACTTTAAAGGCGACTTTATTTGCTCGAATTTGTTCAAAATGAAAATAGTAACCAATATTGTCGCGAAGATACATTGCTCTAAACTTTTTTTAACGAAATTATATTCTTTTCATCGATTGATACATCATCATATGAGCTAGCAGTATTTTTGGAGAGAATTTTAGGACTTACTTATTTTGTTGCAAAACGAATCAGCATAGCATTTGGCTTTTCAAGTGGAACTGTACCATTCCCAAATGACAGTGAAGAGATACGAAACGCTTCAAACTTACTTGTTTATCTTTGCCTACTCCCCTGGCCCGAGTGGCCTGTGCCGACACAGTGGTAACGCGGATTTTACAAAGATCGGTTCATTCGGTTGGCAAAGCCGCGCGGCTTAGGCCAATCGCAAGACCAAGCTAGTGGAAATAAACCTTTACGTACCATATGCGACACGAACGAATAAAACAAATCGTACAGAACATTTGAATATCGTCAGAAATTTACAAAGCTCGGAATTATGTACGCATGTACTTCGAAATGATGCAAAATTGACTATATAATATATATAATATATTATATATATATTATTATTATTATATATTATTATATTTATATTATTATTATTATATTGTATATATTATATATTTCATACGTTTCAAATAGTTTCATAATAATTCTGTAGAATATTTCCAGCGGGTCAGTATAATGTTTTTATGTTTTTATACTCTACATAATCGCTAGTCGTCAATAGTATTGTAGTTCATATACATATTGCGCACTGCATACTCATACGTACATGTGTATATACTTATAGTCGTGCGTAGGTTAGATTAAGATTGTAAGGTAGGATAACACATAGGTATATAAGAATATATATAAACATAAGACGTATTTTATAAGTACACTTAATTTGTTCTATTCATTATAAGAGCGCAGCGTAGAGAGCATAAGTTAGTAGAAGTTCATTTGTCCGTTTGAATTTCGCGCTGTTGATTCAGACGGTCGCGTTTCCATCCGTTTCTTCCACCGCTATCCCCTCTTACTATCAGCGCCACCAACGGCTGCCGGCCGAGGGAAGAAGGTCCGAGCTGCCGAGCCGGTCGTCGCTTTTTGATTCCGACCACCGTTATCGCAACATCGTCTCTTCGTTATTCCATTTTTTCTACATCTTGCGTATATTCTAAACCCGCGTTAACTTCCGTTAGAAAGTACATTATTAGGAAGTTAAGTGTTCAAATATAGTTATTTTATTTTATTACTAAACCTTAAGACTAACTTTTATGAACTTCTTCGCGTACAACGTCGTTAAATCGAACTTAATCTCTGAAAATGCGCGTCGCAATCTTTCATCCGCGCGCCTGGTATATCCAGAGATTTATCGCTGAAGAATGAATACCCGCTGAGACGTTACGAGCTACCAGTTACAGCCACGCAGAATTTTGGACAACCTAGGAATTTGAAATCGACCATTTTATTTGTTGTCGTCAACATTACCCACCAACGTGAATCCAGTCGCAGGATCCAGCAGCCGTCGACGTCCTTCGCGGATTCCTCGCCGAACGCCTGCGTACCTGTACTTTCGCGCTTCGAACGGTGAGTCCCTTTTAAATCACGCGCCGTTCTCTCGACTGTAAACGGAGCCCGATCAGACGAGAGACGCATGCGCTCCGTGGATCAAAATCGGCAGTGACTTCTAGTCCCTTTTGCCGCAAGGCACCGCGATCATATATTTTTACCGTGACAGCTCGCCGGCACGTAACACTACATTATACGGTCCCTACGCAATCGAAATTATATTGACAAGGCTAACAACACTACAAAACATCGATATGTAACAAGAGTTTTTCCATTGTTGCATACATACATGAACACACTTGCATACTCGCATTCAATACTGCTCTCCATGCATTCATACGCTTGCTTACATGTTTGTACGCTACTGTTGTATGATAACTTTAGGTACATATTATTCGATTGATGGATCTTTCATTGGAAATATTGTATACCGACATTTATATCTCATAAATTTCTACAGAAATTCAATTGTCGTATTATAAAACGAATTAATATTGTTCATTGTAACATTGAAATGTTAAGTTGCATTTATTGTTTCTAATTGAAAAAGAAAATGACAAGCCAAATTTTTATTCGGAAAATGAAATGTTATAAAGCTATTAAACGTTATTACAGAAACAAGTTGGGCTATAAAGCCCAAGATTATTTATTCGATAGTTAATATTGTAAAAATTATTCAATGAAACTGAATCATCTGAAAATACAGTGTAGTGTAATAACATTTTCAATAATTGATACTTGATCACATTTAATCATAAAAAGATGCCATTTTATTTATACATATATTTATTATGTTATTAAACTAATACATAGATACGTACGCATGTACGTACATTGTACTTACGTATTTACATATATATACATATGTTGAATATCCTCCAAAAAAAACACGAAGGCACAGTTCTAATAGAGGTCGCTACGATAAAAGTAGAAGCATTTCAGAATATATTACCATCTGGAACAACATAACCTTAAAGGGTGCCTTGATAACCCGCTGTCGGCGGATGAACTGTCAATTCCGGTGCATTTAGACAGAGCATTTCGTGCCGTACCGTTCGCCAAAAAATCTGGGAAATTCGTGTCGACTGACCAGAGTCCACGAATTTCCAGAGGTCTTCCTATATAAGTAAACTTCTCTGATAATTTTTAAATAAGTGAATTACTTTTAATGCGCGACCGCACCCGTTTTTGAACGGTAACGTGCGGTGATTCACAGAGATAATTCGCGGTTCGATCGAACATCCATTCGAACGGTGTCGTATGTAAATTCGTTGAACCGCTCGTAAAAATCAGTGACAAGATGACAGAGGTACATAACTTAGGTGTTGATGCTATCAGCTGTCATGCTTGGAATAAAGACAGAAAAGGTTTGACATACTTTTGCTCACTGGTAATCTTCTCTAAAATCAATCAACATCTGTAATATGTTCTTCGTAGAACTGGCTATTTGTCCGAATAATAATGAAATACAAGTTCACAAGCGTACCTCAAACGGTTGGAAATTGCTACAGAACTTGCAAGAGCATCATATGAATGTCACGGGTATCGATTGGGCACCAAATGCTAATCGAATAGTAACTTGTTCTGCAGATAAAAATGCATATGTTTGGTCGCAAGAGGAAGATGGAAAATGGAATCCTACATGGGTTGTTTTAAGAATAAACCGAGCTGCGACATGTGTAAAATGGTCTCCATTAGGTACATTTTCAATTTATACAGATTTAAATCAATAAAATATCGCAATTATCTTTATTAATTACCTGTATTTTGTCTTATAGAAAATAAATTTGCTGTTGGAACTGGAGGTAGAGTGATAGCTGTGTGTTACTTTGTCTCTGAGAATAATTGGTGGCAGTGTAAGCATATAAAGCGTCCATTGAGGTCCACTGTAACAACAGTCGACTGGCACCCAGATAACAAAGTTCTGGTTGCTGGATCCACTGATTACAAAGTTCGTGTCTTTAGCGCATTTATCAATGATATGGAGGATGCACCAGGGTCAAGTTCTTGGGGTCAGAGTAATACTTTAGGAACATTACTTGCTGAATTCGAGAATACTCCTAATGGAGGTAGATCAAATAACATTCTTTTTATCAGCCGAAGTATTATTTGTTTTTGACACCTATTTCCTTTACTTGCATACAGGGGGGTGGATACATTCTGTTGCATTTAGTCCATGTGGTAATAAAATCTGTTGGGTGGCGCATAATTCATCTATATGCATTGCCGATGCCACCAAAGGAAATGCAGTCATACGGATGTACACAGAACATTTACCATTTTTAAGTTTCGTTTGGATGGGGTCCAATTCCATTGTTGCAGCGGTATTAATATAAATGTCCATAATTATTACATACAATTTAACCTGAATTTATGTACTATAAGGGTGAATTTTATTTCCTGCTTAGGGTCATAGTTGTATGCCCATGTTGTATCATATTGACGACAACGGTCAACCGTATTTTGTATCAAAGCTAGACAACACACAAAAAAAAGAGGCTGCGGGTTTGTCTGCTATGCGGAAATTCCAATCGTTGGATCGCCAAGCGAGAACAGATACAAACGATAATGCCTTGGATAGTATACACCAAAATACAGTTAATTGCATACGAAAAGTGTCTGATAACGAATTTAGTACAAGCGGTTTAGACGGTCAGTTGGTAGTCTGGGATCTCAAGGTTAGTTTCAATAACGTATATGCAGACCATTCTTCGCACTGTAAAATTTACCCACAATGTACTTTTATAATTAATTTCCTTTTATCTGTCTTCTACTCTTTAGCTCCTCGAGAATTCCATTGCTGGTCTCAAGATAGCATAAGAACAATTTTTTTTATATCCTAAAGATGAATGAAGATATTACATCACGCAAAGATGTATAAATGTTAAAACTGAAAAATATACAATTTCTCATTACTTACCGTGCTATTTTCTTCGTTTCTACGTTTAAAGTACACAATGTATTCATTAGAGTATCTTCATGATTATAAAATGACCGTTGGGCTCCGAATTCTGATACAAATTTAATTTTATTGAATTCTATGGAATTTTATACTCCATTCATTCTACATAATGGTTTGCACTCTTCGGTTCTAGTTTTCATTTTATTCGAACAGATTTCAAATCCAAATTATCGTAAAAACTGTTTCTTGAAGATATTGATACGAGGAACACCGGATAGTTTCAATTAATGTCATGTTAATGTCGGGTCTCTTCTACTTAACGGACTGTGATTACCTATGTTGATACCAATCTCCGAAATTAATTTCACACATAATGTTTACATCGGTACAGTTTCACCGATAATGTTTCCGACAATGTTTCTTCAATATTCATGATATTGACATCGCCGGAACAACGTCAAGACAATAAACGTTGAAGAAACATTGTCGGCAATTTGAACACGTTGGTAAACAAACATTATCCCTGAAATAGATATTTAAGATCCCGACAGTAATCTGATTTCCTCGCCAATGTTTACATCGACGTCAAAATGCCAATGAGAATTGTATTTCCGTGGATTTTTGAGATATACAATTTATTACAATAGACAATACTATAATACTAATATTCACGGTTTAGTTATACTTATGTTAAATAATTATACGCGATAGCTTGTAATAATGTAAAAAACTGTATTCACAAGAATAGCATATATTATTAATATATCGTATTGAATATTTTGACATATTCTGCATCTGAATAAGCGGTGAGAACAGAATGTCAATGAAATCATGATCAACGAAAACTGAAATCGATGTCCGTGAAACTAGATCATCGATAAAAACATACATATATCGATCAAGCAATCTGGGTATAAAATGCAAACATTGTCGTGGATATCATAGTCTGTCGAGTAAAACGGACCCAAATCACCTAAAATAAAATTAACATGGCTTAAATGCCATATTTTCAAAATAACGGTGATCTAGATCTCAAACAATTAAAATATTATCCGTTGATATCGGAGAAAGTGATCGCGATAAATAGATTCAAGGTGATTCAACGGCCTAGGGAGGATTTTGGCTTTATTCGCAACCTGCGTCCGGTCCCGTGGGCCACGGTGGACCGCGACGTCTCTCGGTCGAGAGGGTTGCAGATCGTCGGGCGTCGCGTCGCGCACGACGGGTCACCGGTCGACAGGCGTAAAGTGGTTCGCTGGTGCCTAGAAACCACACGGTCGCGTGGCCTGGGCGCGGTGGTGGGGAGAGGGCTGGGGGAAAGGAGGCGGCAGCCGGACAAGTTCAGCGCGGCTATCGATTCAGTCTCGCGCAAACCACCCCCATGTGCCGAGCCCGTTGCAGCAGCTCCACCTTTTAGCTTTGTTTTCCGCTCGGTGTCATGACTGACACATAAACAGAGAAGGGACACCGCGGTAAACGGTCCAGCTGCGCCGTGGGTCCACGGTGAACGCCGCGACGCGTATTACAAAACTCGTCTGCCATTAACCAAGAAGAGAGGGAAAGAAAGAAAGAAAGAGAGAGAGAGAGAGAGAGAGAGAGAGAGAGAGAGAGAGAGGCAACGGTTAAAAAGGCGCCGATCGAAACGAATACGCATCCCTGGTTAAGCCGATCGGATCGGTCGCTTATCGATTAACCGCGAACTATTTCCGAAGAGGCCATTTCCATGGTTCGTACCGTTTCGCAGTGAGGTGGTCAAGTTTATTACATAAACCAGGGTCGCGAGCACCGGCGGCGCAGGGGAAAGCAGAATTATTCTCGACATTTCGCGAACCGGGCCACGTAACCCCTGGACGAGAGAGATCACCCTCTCGGGGCACGCCGCGTGTCCTTCTTTCACACTCGCGTAGCGAACCCGCCGGCCGTTTAATCGTTCGAGAGTCATGCCAGCGATGAAAATAGATCTCTCCAGTGAAACGTTCCGTCATCGATTCGCGTCGTAAGAGAGAGAGCCGCCGCGCCGCGTCGTGTCGCGCCGCACCGCGCCGCGTCGCGTCGCGCCGCGCTGCCGGGAGGGTTGCGTTGCGTCGCGTTTTCGTTCTGGCCGCGGCGTCACGGCGGTGCGCGCGATAAATTTAGAAGGTTATCCCCGATATCCTCGATGAATTAGCGATCGAACGCGCGCCTCTTCTTGTTCGCGGATAAAACAGCCGGGGCGGCCCGCGCGGGGTGTGATCGTAAACCGCTCGTCGACACCGCCAGGGGCTGTTGTGATTTCTGCCGCACGGATAACGGGATCGATGCCGTGAACACCGTCGTGGACGGGGACGGACCCGGAGGGAAAGAACACGGGGAAAAAACGATCGCTCGCGGTCCGGCGCGTTCTTCCGCTTGAATATGCGGCGCTTTCACCACGGCCACGCGGACCCGTGCTCGTCTTGACTACGAATCCTGGCTGAACGAAGGGAGTAGCGCCTCCACCGCTTAGAGATGTCTTCGATATCGGCGCAGGGGGTCGTCGAAAGAGCCAGCGCCGAGTTAACCAAGAGAATCAACGGTCTGGGGCTGAAAGCGTCCAAGCACCATGGTTGGTAAAAATACATTCTCGATTTATTTCGCACGCGTACCACCGTACAACCGATTCAACCGGTCGACGATCAGTCCGTATGACACGACAATTATTCCAGCCTGTGTCACGAAGGCCAAACGCGAAGTGCGCGAATCTCGACCATATGACTCGTTCGGATTCTCGTCGACGTTTATTACGCCGCGTACGCCAAGGTGTCGTTGTACTATATGTAAATTTCCGCGGAACAATGGTTGTCGTCGGTCCAGTGTTCGCGGAACCAGAAATCCGAAATGGGTCATTTTGCTCGCGGCCAGCGTCGATGTCCGAACGGACGACGGTAATTTGCCGTTAACAATCGATCGTGCCGCAGAAAATTAACGCGAGATTGTAATAATTTTTTTATACAGTATTTTTCAATGGATTTGTAACGCAACTTCGAGTCGAACGCGGCCGTTCGACGAATTATTTTTCAGCGAAAAGCGTCGACCGCGCGTAACCAGCACGTTTTCGTGTACGTTTTAACCTAGCACGATACGTTTCCGCGTAATATATAGCGAGCTTACAAGACGATAAGTTGCGCAAAGACGTACGTTGCAAGATAAACGTGCGAAACAGCCGCAATTGGGTCATTTTGATTCCGCATTCGGGGATTAAAAATGGCGTGTAACGCATGGGCTTTTATAAGTCGAGTCTGTTGAACAGATTTCCACGGTTCTGCGATGATTCTCGGTTTAAATCAAGTGTTTTCGATTACGTGCAAACCCTTCGCGAGCACGTCGAGTTGACGGAATCAACCTAACCAAGAACTCGCCCCGATTTTCTCGCGCATCATTCTTATCGCACAGATTGCACATCGTCGATGTACAACAAGCAATCCTATGACTTTAACCCATTGCTGTGCTTCGACAAGTACGAACCGTCGTGAAAATTTAGTATTGTAAATAACTTAATAATAATAATATGATAG